AGAAGGGAAAAAATAGGAATCACTTCTTAAATTAAGTATAGGAGAAATTTTTAGGTATAGCAAATAAAACACATGCTGAATTGAAATTTTTAATGAAGAGTTGGTGAGGGAAGGAGATCAGTGTGGGCATGGCCACCAGTCTTGAATTTTTATTAGTCTAGGGTTTTTAACCTATTTGGGCTAAAGGTTGGAAGGGTTGCTGCCAGATTTGAGAATGCTTTCCTTTCTGATTATTGTTCTCTAGTTAAAAAAAAAAAAGCATGCAGGACTTTTTATGTCCTTTCTTCAAAAAGAGTTAAGCTATTTTGTTATGGGGAAATTGATAGCAAAAAATGTAACTTTTTAAAGCATCCTTTTAATGGTGCAATATCACCATCTTGTGGTGTTTTAGAATATTGTTTCCAACATTTTCCAAACATGAACCAAATTACATATTTGATGTCTTGATGCTAACCAAGGATTCCACCAGATGTGTATTTGACAATTTTTGCAAATGGAATTAAACATAAAAGTGTGATCGAGGAAAATAATAGTATAAAATGAAACTGTTATGAGTTAAAATTTATGAGTGCTTTACTAATATTTCTTACTTTAGGAGATAAGTAGTATTTTCAGTGAAATAATTGCAAACTTAAAAAAAATCTGTTCTGTTATCCATTTCTTATTTAAGAAGAAACTAAGACACAGAAAAATTTAAGTACTATATTTTAGCTATTTAATGGGACTTTTAAATTTATTTTATTGTAAAATAGTGCCTTCTAAGCTGATGACTCTTGGAGGGTTTGTTTTTTTTGCATAAATTTGTATACTTTATAAAATCCAATGATAATTTAATTTTTCCCCTTGATGTAGTGTCTTGTTTTGCCAAGGCTTCATTTGAACTCCTTCCTGGGCTCAGGAGACCCTTCTAACTCAATTGTGGCAAGTATGGGAGGGAGATGCAAGGTGATTTTGATGATGGCTTTGAGGGAAACAAAAAAAGAGATAAAAAAAAAAGAAGAAGAAGAAGAAGACTATACTACCATAGAAAAAACACCTAGAAGACTGCTGGAAATGTAGCCCAGAGGTAGAGTACATAAAGTAAAGGCTCAATGGCACTGTTGCTGTTGTCTTGGTAAAAGAAGACCAAGAGGGGCATGCCTGAGAAGAAAAGTGGGCAGAGGAGTAGGAGACAGCTTCTGTGTGGTTGTGTGTAGACAAGGGCCCATCAGATGAGAGGGTCGTTTGTGTTAATCAAAATGTTGAAGACTGGCACACTGCAAGATGGTGAGGGAGAGACCAGTGTGGAAATGAAGACCTTACCTTGTCAAGGGGCCATACAGTAGGAATGAAGGCCTGGGATGGGAAGAGCATGTGGATTAAGTGGTAAGAAGTTTATTATTCAGGAATCAGTCTCTGGGAGCTAAAGAAGTAATGAGCTAGAATTTAAGAATGTTTCTGAGAGCTAAGAGAGCATTTGGGAGCCTGCTTTGTTCTGCATGTAACTGATCTGGGATTCTTTCTACAGTTTTAAGAAACAGAGTAATAGGAAATTGCTTTGTCACAGCTAATGTAGGTGGAACATTCCTTGGTCACTAAGACTATTAAAATGTCCCACTTTCCACAGTATTGAGAAGTTTCCAAGGATAGAAAACTAGAATGTGGATGATCCTGGACAAGCAAGACTACCTTCCTCTCACTGTTATGTATTACAAATTTACTAAACTACCAAACAATATCTTCTTATTCATTATCTTAATGTAGAAGCAACATTCTTGTTTTATTTTAATTCTCACATTCTTTTTTGTTTTTTTGTTTTTTCGAGGCAGGGTTTCTCTGTGGCTTTGGAGGCTGTCCTAGAACTAGCTCTTGTAGACCAGGCTGGTCTCGAACTCACAGAGATCCGCCTGCCTCTGCCTCCCAAGTACTGGGATTAAAGGCGTGCGCCACCAATGCCCGGCTAATTCTCACATTCTATAGTTTACATTTTCATAAAATAATTTTTGTGTGCTTTACAGTTGCTAAATTGGATATTAGTTTCATCCCATGGTGTTTTACATTCACTGAATTTTAGATTTTGTGCTGCTGATACAGTAATGGTCTCGATTCAGATTTGTAACTTTCTAGTTCCCTGGCACTTGATGCTCTCTCCCTGTCTTGTCACTGCGTTGTTTCCTTTTTTCTAATCTTGCCTCCAAAACTAGATTCCCTGTTGTTGAATTTGAACTCTGTCTTCTGTTATTTTCTATCTGTGCTGTTCTTTACAGATTAGACAGTCAGTGCTTGTGTTTATTGATTGATCCAGGGCTAAGGAGCTGTGACAGTATTTCACTGGTCATCAAAGCCTTAATACTATATTGAGTATATGTGGAGTGTACAGACACTTCAGGTCATTCTAAGCAGGTTTTTATGCTAGGGGAGTGTTGTTTGTTATTTTATTTTATTGCTCTGACTTTACAGTGGCATCCTGAAGGAAGCAGGCAGTTAGGTACATCTTCTGGAGCTGGCAGTGCCTGCTGTAATTCGAGCACTCAGATCTGAGGGCAGTCTGGGCTACCTAGTTACCTAGTGCGACCCATTCTCAGAAACAACAACAAACAACCCCTTTCCCATTTTCTTCTCCCCCACCCTCCTTCTTTTTGCTGTTGTTTTTGAGACAAGCTCTCACTGTGTAGCTCTGGCTGTCCTAGAACTTACTATGTTGCCGAGGCCGGCCTTGAACTGACAAAGATCCATTTGCCTCTTCACCTAGCTTCCTTCCCACATTTTCTAAATGAGGGTTTGATAGGTCTCTAAATTCAGAGTACTAGAAAAACAGTGTATTGCCTATAGTAGGATTCCCTCATGTTCTCTGCAGTTGAATAAAAACTATGGTATTTTCAAAGGATTGGACTGGACAAAATCAGCTTAGGTGTACATGCCATCTCCTCTACACATAGATTTTAACCCAGTCTTATTTGGCTGAATATCCACTTTGTTGGAAAGTTTGGTGAAAGTCAGACTTTGTGATTTCTCTTGCCTCATTTACTCTCTGAGTTCCTGAATCTGAATTGACCCTATAGTCTCTCTGTTCTCATATCCTGGGTATCAAGTACTACTGGGAAATGGTCATAACAACATGCAGATTGTTGTCCCCGTGGGTTTATGGAAAACACCGTATTAATATTGTTTAGCTGTGGTTGATTAGCACCTTTTCTTAGTACTCTAGGAAATTGTTCCAGAATATCCCTCCAGAGCAAGCCTGTTGTCTTCTATAATTAATACCTCTGATGAACTTACTCCAAATATGTCTTCTACGTTGACCTAAGCCTAGCTGTCTCTGATGTGGAGATACTCACAGGTTTACTTTGAACATCATACCCCAATGAAAACTGTCTAACTTCTCAAAAGTAGAGTAGCAGCTGGCTCTTAATAGGTGTTTGGTTTGCACCATGCAAAGTCCTAAGGTCTGTGTGTTCTGTGTCAGTCCTCCTTGTAGCATGAGCTGATGGCTCTGCTCTTCTTGTTCTGCGATACAGTTAGCTCAGAACACAGTTCAGGTGGCAGGACTGGAAATGCAGTCCTCATTGTTCAACTGCAGAACTGTCTCTGGAGAACTTTGTGATGTATTGTGTCTCCACATCTGCTCCTCTTCTCCCTCTGCTGCTATGACACAATTGTCTACCCACACTGAAGCGGAACATCTTAGTTTCAGATTTAGTTACACTTTTATTATGAACCCTCAGCTATGGCATAGTCCTCCTTTACCCCAGTACTTTTTTTCATGTTGCCAATGTGCTTGTTTAGTTAAACTCACTCCTTTGAATGTAGCTTCATAGCTGTCAAAGTTATCATTCGTTATTGAAGTTCCTTAGTATATATGAGCATAAACCTACAGTTTTGTGCACAATGTAATTAGGATTTTTTTTCCTTGTTAGCTTCTTTTTCCACTGCCCAGCCATACTATACTGTCTGCTCTCTGTGGTCCTATCTTGAAGAATTGTACTTCTAGGGCTGGAGAGATGGGTGAGTGGCAGTAGTGCTTTCTGCTTTTGTAGAGGATCCAGGTTTGATTCCTAATATCCCCCACTGGACAGCTCACAACCACCTGTAATCCCAGTTCCAGGGATTTGAAGCACTTCTGGCTTCTGCAAGCATCTGTGTACATGTGGCATATACGCATATATGTAAAAATATCTTTAAATAATTGTGAGGCTGTCGAAGTGGCTCAACCCATAAGGGTAATGGATACTCTTCCAGAGACCCAGGTTTTATTCTTAGAACCTATATGGTGGTTCTTAGTTTTCTGTAACTTCAGTTTCAGGGGATCCTCTTCTAAACTCCATGAGCACCAGGATTGTATGTGGTGCACAGATATACATTCAGGCTGCCTTAGGGTTTCTGTTCCTGTGAAGAGACACCTGTACCCTGGCAACTCTTATAAATTGTGTGTGGCTTACAGTTTTAGAGATTTAGTCCATTATCATTATGGAAAGCATAGCAGCATGCAGGCAGACACAGTGCTGGAGGAGCTGAGAGTTCTACATCTAGATCCGCAGGCGTCAGAAGAAGACTATCACACTAGGCCTAGCTTGAACATATAAGACCTTCAAGTCTGCCTCCACAGTGATACATTTCCTCCAAAAAGGCCACACCTCCTTCTAATGTCACTCCCTGTGGGCTAAGCTTACAAACATGAGACTATGTGGGCCATTTCTAATTAAGCCACCACACAGACAAAACACTCATACACATCATTTTTTTTTTTGGACCGGGTTGAATCACAATCATAGAGATCTGCTTGCCTCTGACTCCTGAGTGCTGGGATTAATGGTGTTTGCCACCATGTCTGGCACAAGCCTTCTCATAAACAAACAAACAAATAAACAAACAAGTAAATGTATGTTACAGATAGGTTACACGTGCAGGTTATCTTCTTTGTGATGCCTCTGCTCCTTGACTGAAGGTCATCTGCTTTCATTATGTACTTCAGAGGAAGTGCTCAGCATTCTGGGTCACACTGAAAACTGTTGTGTTTGCAGGGTTGTCTCCTAACCAGACTATGAGCTCCTTGACAGAAGAAATCGTGTCTTTCTCTTCTTTGTATCCTCAGTGTCTGGCACAATTCCTGATACACAGTAAGTATTTGACCCTTATTGTTTTAAGTGAAAATTATGTAGCTAGTAGTCAAACTAAGTATATGCTGATTGTTAATATTTATACCTATATAAATCAATTAATATATCTTTATAAAAATAAAACTTTTGCAGGGTGCATATCTTTAGCTCCAGCTAAAGGTAAAGGCAGGTGGGTCTCTCTAAGTTTGAGTACAGTCTGGTCTGGTCTGGTCTACATAACAAGTTCCAGGACAGCCAGAACTACATTTGAGAAACCCTGTCTCAAAAGAAATAAAAAAATTTTACAAAGTGAAGTTATACACTTTAAACATTTCCTGAGGTTCAATTTTTGAATCATTTCATCATGTTTTCTAATATGTATATGTTCTTGAGTCTAAGGATTGTATAGAGGGTTTATATAAAACAAAGAATAAATCGACAAATTAATCAATATGGAGAAAACGAGCAGTTTTACAAAAGGTTGACAAGTCCCTATCTGTGTAGTGTTTAAACTTACAAATTTCTTCTCAGAAAACTGACCTGATGCTTGCTTGTCTTTAGTCTCAGCAAATATCTGTCTCATGAAATAATGAACTCCTTTGTGTTTTTTTTTTGTTATTGTTGTTGCTTATTTCTTAAGTCCACCTCCAAATAAAAGGTACTTTCTAGCCTATATGTTATTTAATGCCCAGAAGAAGAAGTGTCTTTATTGGAAGACTAATTAAATGGGTGAAAGCTATATCTTTCCCTTTGTTTCCATCATAGACTATGGAAAACACACTTGATGGATTAGTGATTTACTCTCTCCTCTGTCTACTTTATTGACTTCATTGTTTAAATTACTATGGCTGGGGTAGTAGCTAAGTAAATAAAGCATTTGCTGTCTAGGCATGAGAACCCCATTGGATCCCCAGAACCGATGTAAAAGCTGGGCAGACTTGGCAACTGCCTATAATGCCAGCATAAGGAGGTAGAGTTGGGATTCCTGAGGGCAAACTGGGCAGTTAGATTAACAAGAAAGGTAAGCTTGGGTTCCAGTGAGAAACTGCCAGAAAATAAAATGAGTGCAATCGAGGAAGACATTTGAAGTCAACTCCAGGCCTTCATACATATAATACCACCTTCTCAAATACTTGTGCATGCCATACTCACACATGCAAAAAAAGGAAAAATACAATTTGAACATGTCAGATTATGTGTCACATATGGTAGTAACATAACTATTTGTGAGTCAGCCATTTCAAAGTTAAAACTAAATCACTAATAAAAGGGTGATCGATTCCCATACTCCCCATTCCTTTCTTTTTCCATCTCTGCTGAAGCTACCGTCTTGAATTGGCTTTTGTTACTCCCCCCCACCTCCCAACAAGGCCTGGCTTTGTGGTTCTGTCTGGCCTTGGATTTGAACTCAGGCTCTTACTGCTTGCTCCTTCCTGTGCTAGTTTAGAGGTTATGTGCCACTGTGTCTCCCTTTGTCTCTTTTTCAATACAAAAAGAAAATGCCCTTTAACTTATCTGTCTTGGTCATTTTTCCATTGCTGTGATAAAGCACTATGACCAGGGTAACATACAAAAGAAAGTTTAATTGGTTGAAGAATATTGCATCACCCTCATGTGGGTGACAACTCACAAAAACTACATTCCTAGAACTAGTTCCCTGACCAATTTTCAGGCAGTTCTCCTCAGTGATTGCTGACTGATTGTGTAATTATGGGAAGGGGTCTCATGAATCTTAAAAATGTCTGAAGTTTTGAGTCTTATTTTCTAAGCCTACCTTTTCTTAGCTTCTGGAGTCTTATGAACCTCCCACTTCCCTCCAATAGGGAATAGTTCAATTCAGAGGAAATAGCTAAGCAACAGGCATTTTATTTTCTTTTATTTCCTAAGAAATAGGTTTTAGAGCTGGGTGTGGTGGCACATGATTTTTAATCCCAGCACTTGGGAGGCAGAGGCAAGTAAATCTCTGTGAATTTGAGGCTGGCCTGTTCTACAAATCGAGTTCCAGGACAGCCAGGGCTGTTAACACTGTCTTGAAAAACCAAAAAAAAAAAGGGGTGGTGGTGGGTTGCCTTTATTTAAAGATCCTTTTGGTCACTATTTTTTTTAATTCATTATCATCTCCTTACTGTTTTCTTCAGGTTTATTATGCCTAATTAACTCATGACTTCTGTTTTCCTCAGATACTTGCTTGTAAGCGTAACTATTTGGTATTCCATAAACTTTTATATGTAGTATTTTGTGGCATTTAGTTCCTTTTCATTTGAAAATTGCCCCGAAGGTTTATTAAATGAATAATTCTTAAAAAAATATCTTAAAAGTAGCTTTTAATTCTGTCTGCATAAGAAATTACCTTTTGGTTATGAATTTTAGTTGAATTTATTATGGTCAGAGAACAGGAAACTAGATTATTTGAAATTCAATGAGATTTTCATTATTGCATTGCCATTTACCCTTCCTTTGAGTCCTTTAGAAGAATGTTTATTTACTAAGAATTAGAACTGATATAAATTTCTGGTTTTCTTCATTAACTCCTCCTCATTTTTTGTTCATTTCACCTGTGATTAAATGTGAGAAATTTGATCTCTAGCACTAGTCAGTTTTCTTCTTGTGGTTTTAATAATCTTTGAAGCTTCTTCATACATGATGAGTTTTGACTTGTGATTAGAGATTTTCTCTGAGAGAGGAAGGGAGGGAGGGAGCGAGGTAGAGGGAGGGAGAAAGAAGGAGAAACCACTGGTGATGGCATCTATTTAGCAAGGTTTTTTTCTTCACCATCAGGCTGGAGAGCAGCATAGAGCCTGCAGTTGGATGTCCCTCAGCTTTCTTTGATTGAGTTGTGGATCTGGAATCTTGATCTTACTTTCTTTCAGAATTCTCATGCTGTCTTCATTCATTCTACAAATGAATGAATGAAGGGCCTACTGTTTCTCATTCTCTTAGTTGATTCTCCTGGAGAAGTAATATGAAAGCTTCTACCTATTCTAGAAAAGAGACCCAAGCCATTTTGTAAATAAGGAGTTAATAAGAACTATTGTAGCTACTTTCTGATGGCTCTGAGGAACAAAGAGAGCTTAGTATGATTAACAGCACATAGACACCTACAAGATTGAAGGTAGCAACACTAACCAGTAATTGATAATTAATAGCTAGCAGACAGTCAATGTCAACAACTTACAAAGCTGGAGTCAGAGATGGACAAAGCAGAATTAGGGGGATACGACTACACATACTGGTAAACATGTGAGCAGTACACAGTCATCTCTTTGGTTGGGACAGGGGACATACATAGAGCATGTGAGCCCTCCAGTGGCTCAGCCCATGATAGCCTAGATAGACAGTCTCATAGTGATTTTCTCAGCCTTTGGCCAGTTTTTGACATAATTCATAAATCACTAGACAAAGAAGTTCAATGCGTTTTTCTTTCTTGGCATCTTTCCATTCTTTGGAATTTCTCTTATTTACCCTTATGTTCTTAAATCCCTTCAGTATGTTTTAATAAAGCTTGCTTTTGCTTTGCTTTCTCCGTTGAGTATGTATGTCTTTAATCATAATTGGTATGAGAATGAACTCACGAGCAATTCTTCCAGGTTTTTTTTTTTTTTTGGTAACAGTATCTGGCATCAAGAACAACTGTGTGGTGAGAGTTCTTGTTACACTATAAAAAAACCTGAAATGCTACCATTCCTGTAATCATCCCATGGGTCACTGTCTTTGCAGTTTCACAAGTGATTGTGTCATCTGCCATAGGCATTTTAGTGGTCCACCCTTAACAACATAACCCATCTTTCTACAGGAGACACCTGCCAAGTGCTTTTCTTGGAGTCAACCCTAGTATCTTAGTATTTACAGCCTTAGTCATAGCAATAGGGTTAGGGTTAGGGTTAGGGTTAGGGTTAGGGTTAAGTATCTGTTGTTTCCATAACAGTCATATTTGCCTTCTAAGTTTTGAGATCATTGTCTCTTCTAGGTTATTTTTGGCAAGATAGGTTGCCCATTCTGTATCTGTTTAATCATTATCCTGAATTCAGTATTGGCCAAAAGAACAATCGCTTGTCCCTGTCTTTTTCCTGTATATGATCAGCAATATCAACTTAATCTCTTTCTTAAAAACTCTTCTTTGATGCTAAGGACAATGAGGATAGAATCCTGGTCATTAAAATTAATTCATTCAATCCCAGCACTCAGAAGGCAGAGGCAGATGAACTCTTGAGTTTGAGGCCAGGAATGCCAGGGCTGGCCAGTGTGACCCTGTCTCACAAAAGAAAAAGCTGAAGTAATCAGAGCCTTCTGACTTCTCTAGGTTGCTGGGCTTGTGTGGCTAATTGATTGATATTTAGTGCTCCAAAGGATTCTTTAATGGAGGTTTCTGTTACATCACAAATCACATTCCCTAGAAAGCAGTGTAATGTCTAAATTTGTGAAGATGACACTGGCTAATATTAAATCCTTAAACCACCCATGGGCAGGATGTAGCAGTCAATTGGAGATGCCCAGTGCTTACTGTACTGTCTTCATCACTGTGCCAAGGGGCTGAGGTCATCCATTCCTTTTTTTTTTGTTTTTTCCAGACAGGGTTTCTCTGTATTGTTTTGAGAGGTCATCCATTCTTATACTTCATTGTATTAGTTTGAGGTATATTTAGCAGGGCATCTATCAGAAAGTAGAATTTCCTTTGGTTTATTTTCTTGCTGATCATCATGTTGGAAATATGTGAGTTTGTTTGTTTCTAAAGCATGGCAGTTTGACTTTATGTCTTCTAACTGAATAGAACCTCGTATCATTTTCCTTAATAGTGCTGTTGTCTTTCTTTCTGGATTCCGAACCTTCTTATTTGTGTGATTATTTTGCTTTCATTTAATCAGTGTCTCTATTTTATGTTTCTTATCTTACATTTGAATCTGCTTCTATGTATTTATTTCTATACTTAAATTATTAATTTGTGCTTTCTAACCTTCTTTTTCCTTTATAATTTGGAAGCTATCCTCCCAACTCTTAATAACCAACCTTGAAAATTTGCCAGG